GATTTAGTGGGGATGATGTTGTTGTTATTATTGTTGTTGTTGTTGTTGTTGTTGTTGTTGTTGTTGTTGTTGTTGTTATTGTGATTGAATGAACATTGATCATTGTCAATACTAGTACGTGGTTGAGGGCTACGCGAAGGAACTAATAAAATTTGTGGTTTTATAACTAGACCACCAGGTGCAATTGAAGATCTTCTTCTTCTTACTGATGGTTGCGGTGGTTGATGAACATCATGATGGTTATCTTCTATAGTAGGCACACAAAATGGGCTATTATTATTTGAATTGTAATAATAATTATCAAAAGACAACTTTCCACTTGAAGTGGTTGAGGTGAATGATGATGAAGAGGAATTGATTTCATCGCTGTGTGAATTACGATTTCTATTACTATTAACAATCGCTGAAGGACTTGTTCTTGAACTGGTAGTTGAAGTAAATGACCTTGCAGGTGATTTATCACGTCTATTGTTTGATGATGATTGTGACGATGTAGTAGGAGTTGTAACGGAATAATTTGAGGAATGATTGGTTGATACGTTATTGTTAATATTCGGATTATTTAATTGTGACGAGATTATTGGCGAAGAAGGTGTGGATATTGAAGTTGCACGACTGCGTATACGATTAGATGAATTGATTAACGGTGATGGAAATTTAAATGATGAATGGGAAGATGAGATTGATGAGATTGATGATGTGGTGGATATAGCATCGTGAATTGACAATGGGTCTGATTTAATAAATTCTGTCGAGGCTTGTAATGTAGTCAAAGCAAAGCTGCAAAATATACATGTGTAGATATAACGTAGATAAACGTTGAAACGCAATATATATTTATATAAAATATATCAATAAATGATGATGACGATGATGATGATGACGATTTACCTTAATTCCGATCTCTCAATTTTTGATAAACGAAAAGTCCTCATGTAGAATAAAACGCTTGCCAAATGATTTAATCTACTATTAACAATCACATATGCAAGTAATGGTATGAAATCATCAGTGGTAATTAATGACCCTTCATCTTGACTATCATAATTACTATTACTACTATTACTACTACTACTATTATTATTATTTGTTATTGAAGAAAAGTTAAAATTCCTATAATCATCGCTATTATTATTATTATTGATATTATTGTGGGTTAGTGTAGCAGATTGAGTTAGATAAGCGTATGAAGCATTTGAAATTTCTTGAAGAGTTCTTTTAATACAAAACAATTTCTCTAATGGAGTTGTTGAAGGTATAGAAGCTAAAAAGTTTTCATTATGCGTCAATTTCTTATCATCCTGATCATCTATGTTGGTGATTCCTAATCCTGCATATGATGAAATAGTTGTTGATTCACACTCGTTGTTATCACCATCAATCAATTTCAAGATTTCACGCGCTGATTCTAACATTTCTACCGGGATATCTTGAAGGCGTTCTGATACACCATAATCTTTAAGTGTGATGTGTGCATTTGCATAGACATTCAGTATTGATTCAAGGTATGTGTCATGTGAATGATAAATTGGTAATAGTGATTGAATGAATATTTTTTCATGTAAAGCATTCATCAAAATACTTTTTTTTTTAAAAAAAATCAGATATATATAATTATTAGTATTATAGTAAAAATTATTTTTTGGAATAAAAAAATTGATATATTACTTTTCTACTAGTTCTAGGAAATAATCATGTTCATGTGGTAATTGACAAATTAATCTCAATGTTTCGTTGGATTCCAGAAAACTCTAATAAACAAGCAAACAAATAATTTGATTTAATTAATTAACTAATTAATTAACGACTTTTCTTAAATTGATAATTACCAGAACAGATTTTTGAAAAATCTGGGAAATTTTATCTACAGTAAACCCAGCATAACCTCTAACATACACGTAAGTTTCTTTAAACTCTTCCACCATATCCTCCATACTTTTTATTGAAGAGTCATTATGTGATGATGATAATATATTTTTCAAGAATTGTAGATCCATTTCATGATTTCTTTCTGGTGGAATACAAATTCCACCAAATTTTTCACTATTCATTTTTTTCCATTCACCTTCTAAAGGCATTTCCAAAACTAGGACTTGAACTGATTTATATGCTTCATTATAAACTAATTCATCACTCAATATTCTAATTATTCTTTCTTCTTTGAACCCTTTTATATATTTTTTTTTTTTAACATGAGAAAAGGAATTTAATAATAAATTTAATAATATTATATATGAGATTATATATATTTCTTCGCATACGTACCTTTTAATGTTTTTACATGATTATTTTCTATTATCATTACTTTATCATTAATACTTTGAAATTGGCCCTGAAAATATGGCGATGGAATAAAAGAATGTGACTCTATATATTATATTTAAATAATATATAAACATTAGATCAATGTAAGATGCAGCGCAGTAATCATCTAAGTTTATTTAAATGGTGCGGATCCTTTTACTTTGTACATGTGTTGCGTTTTTGGCAAAGTTTATAAACGTGAAAACACAAAAACACAAAATCAAGTTTCTTTTTCATATATATATATATATATATATATATATCAGATATTAATATAACCTGTTAGTCTGTCATATCAACAATTGCAAAAAAAATTTTTAAAATGGTAATTATTTTAATTTACTACTATATATATACTAATTTTATTTAGCCATTTAATTTAATTGACCGGTTTTAAGCGAGTACTAGTAATGCAGAAAAGATTTCCTAATTTGATAATTTATATTTGTATATACAAAAGTACGTACGATAATTTTTCATATGATTTGGCCAAATAAAAAGTTCTGTAACATGTAACATGCTACAACTTTTATATATACATGTTAATAAAATTATTGATCAGAATTTTACTATATGCTTAGTTGAGTAAATAAATGCCACGTGGTCATCTTTCCGAATTAAGTAAAAGGGATCCAAATTAAGATCAAAATATTCATTTGTCAGTCCAATGTATAAAATCACATGTTTTTTAAAAGCTAGACTCAAGAATTTTTTTTAAGTTACTGCCTCCCTCGACGATAGATTATAGAACTAGTTAATAGCTATCAAAAATCGTCTCTATTTTTTTTCAATATTTCTCTATCTAGCTTTAAAGTCGATCAATTTTTATTCAATGGATTTAGTGATGGAATTTTTAACCTTACACTTAATAACTCTACTTATCGGGCAAACAGCACTATTAAGCTATTTTTGGTTGCTTCGTTATTTTAGGCACAAAATGACGTCAATATGTTTGATATACTATTTATACAACATTTCTATAAGATATAATTAAATCATATAATCAAACTTTATATAAACAGTGACGTTTGAAAGAATAGCTTAATAGTGATTGCCCGATAACATCGATATTGGCCGTTGCGTACCCAATATCTTATACTTATTAACTGTTGCATTCTTAGTGATCTATTTTGCCGATGTACAGGATTCAGCGTACGGAAATTTTCTGTGCTAACCAAATTTTGTTACCCGCATACTGAATTTTATGCACTGTCATCCATCATAAACTAAATTAATTATTGTTTATCAAAATTGATCTTTGATTAAACATAGATTCAAATGATTTTTGCTACCAACAAAAAAATCTGCAAGTTTGTGCTTTTAACACTTAATAAGTCATCAATAGAGTTATTAAGTATTTAATCATTCATTTTCAAAATAAATTTTACGTCCATCACTAAATGGGTTGGTGTGACCCACACTATTACCATAGTAATAAAATAAAATCGCGTTTGTTTATCCATTTAATATGCCTATATATAAGTTTTGTTTAAAATGGGTTTGTTATTGGTATCAAACAAGTACTATAAGCATGATTAATGCACAACTGTAGACAATCAAACATTAGAGAATATGTGGTAGATCATTAAAAACAATTCCAAAAAAAAAAAGAATGCACAATTTGTTGAGTAATTTAATTTTTTATCTACGCAATTGTTTTGAAATTCATCACAATCACCGTATACAGCTCTTTCATACAGTCAAACCTCGTTTCAGTTAAGGCAAAAGAAAATTTATAAAAACTTATTTAATTTTGCACCAATTAAAAAAAAATATATAAAAACTTCTTATAAAAATTTAAAATACATTCCACATATTAATAATTAAATATGATACTAAAAAACAAGATTGTTTATTGTTTTGTTGCCTGTCTTTTTATAGTTAGTCATAGTAATGCCTTAGATCTTGACATTTTTATTACTTATATTAATAATATTGATACAATAGCATTATTTACACCATCTTTTGTTAATGCAAGTATTGGAGATAATGTAGGCTATATTTTACTTGTTCATTTTTAATAATAAAAATACAAAATACAATATTTCTAAGTTATTTTTATTAGATAATATTTCAAAAAAACCCATACTCTACCGGAAATTTTCAAATTATAGAAGGTGATGTGAAAGGGTCTTGTGTAAAATCTACAAAATCTGATGCATGTATGTACAATTATTTCAATGTATTTTCTCATGATTATTTTTTTTAACGATATTTAAAATTATTAAATTAGTTACTGCAGAATTATCAGATGCCAACCCAACAGCTACATTACCACTGGCAAAGTCTGGTACATTTTTTTTCTTTGATGCAGATATCTAAAGGTTCTATGTGTGAATTAGTGTTAGTGATGGAACTGCTCCTTCCGCTGCTACTCCTCCCGCTACTACTCCTTCTCGTGCTATTCCTTCTGCTACTACTCCTGCTCCTGCTTCTCCTTCTGCTGCTACTCCTTCCCCCTCCCTCTGCTGCTACTCCTTATCCTTATCCTACTTCCCCTACTTCTCCTCTTCCCAATACTAGTGGCAACGATAATAATGGAGGGAATATCGGAATTATCCTTGGTGCTGTTGGTGGTGGATTATTTGTTTTAGCAACTCTCATTATTGTTATTGGATTCATTATGTATAGGAAAATTAATAATAACAATAATAATAATAAAAATAATAATAATAATAAT